CGCATTCTTTCGATTTAATTTAGAAAGAACGCAGCTGTAGTCTAGACGCAGGTGAAGTTTTTTCGAAAAAAGGCTACTTTTTTCGAAAAAACCCTGCAGTCTAGACACAGCCCTGCTGTTTCTCTGACTGTTCCTGTTGCAAGCATTAACAAGAAAACATTTAAGAGGCTGACCCTGTACACTCCGAACATCTGGCTGGATTTCAGCATGATCTATAAACACATTACTTAAGAGAATCTGAGGAAAAGAGTCATTTATTTTGTGCTGTGGATTTAATTTGTATTGCCACATGTTCTCTCTAAAACTTTGTTATACGCATTCTCGAAAGAAACACCAACCAATGAGGTAAGGTAGCTGGATTCTCATGTAACATGCTTGCAAGGGAATAATCAGTTTAGGTTTTGGCCCCAGCTAACTGCAGCACAACTACTCAAAACAGCACTGAGTGCTGCAGTTGGTGCTTGTAGACACGAGGTGTTCAGAGCCTCTCTCAATTCAGGAGTTTGACTGTTGAATGAAAGCACAAGGATTGCATGTTTTAAAAAGTAACTATACCCAAAAGGGACCTGTTTGAGATTGTACGCATTTTTCACGTCCAATAGCCTTACTTTTCTGGTGTAAACCCTGCTCCTCAGAAATCTGTTGTGTTCTTTTACCAGGCTATGTGTTTTTAAAGAACAAAAAGAAAAGGCATGTGCTGCTTTCAATTCTCGAAGAGAATACAGGAACAGGAAGGGAGGGGGGAATAACATTTCAGACATAAGGGATTTTGTATTTATCAGACACAGAAGTCTGCTCTACTATATAAAAGTCTTTAAGACTGCTTTACTGGCTGTGAAAAGAAATCAGCATTCATACAAAATGAGGGCAGAATTTTTGCAATACAGATTGAGCAAGTATTGTAGAGAGTTTCCTTCTACATTATTAATGAAGCAAAAGTAACATATCCCATGCAGTTTAAGGCAATTTATTATCTGGATTACACCAGATGCCTTGCCAGTACAGAGAAACATCAGTCTAATGCGTGGAGAAGTGATGCAAAACACAAGCTCAGTGATCAGGATAAAGATAAATACAAGACACCCAAATCGATCATTTTACTCCACAGAAACGAGCAGTTCACTCATAGGAGAAAGATCAATTATGTCATTAGCTTCAATGGTGTATAAAAAGCAGTTCTTTTCATTAGAAAAACTGGATTTCATTTTAAATAACCGCAGAGTTATTTTTTTAAAATAAGCTTATTTAAAAGTAAAATTGTGGTGGATTATCCATTGCTGACTACTTTTAGCAAGGGATGTTTTTCTAAAAGATCTCCTTGAGGCCGTACTTTGACAAGTTCTCACGTCCCGTCTAGCTTTAGAATCCCCGAAACTATGACTGGTTAAGAGCTCCACTTACTCTCAACTGCCACAGGACTACTCATGGTTTTCAAACTACTCAACTCACTAGAATGAAATAGAACATTATGCAGTACATGTTTGCTGCCAAGGGTTTAACCAAGTCCAAGTGGTAGAAGCCACTAGCCAAGCCAGCTTGCAGATGAAGAGGGTGAGTTGGCAGAAATCGAAGGCAGCTCTCCAACAGCCCTCTCTGGATTTCAGGGAGTATGTTGAGTAAAAACCCTTTCCTTGGTTCTGAAGAGGTGCCCAACTCTATTGCTCCTTGCTGTAGTAGGAACCACTTGTTTTTTTGAGAACCTCCGCGTGAGAAAGGTCCCTACAAAGGATTGGGGCTGGCGGTTTTGGAGGAGGTAGGACAGTAAATTCCAATGCACAGCCAGAATGAATGAGCAACACCCCCTTGTACTTCCTTCTCGCTTGCCAGTTGTGGGGAAGTTTGCTACAAGATCCCCAAGGGGTGGGTGGCAATCAGCAGATGGCAGCATCAACGATTTACAGCTCTCACACTCATCAAAATATTGGCTAGACGCGGTTGGATGATGCTCTCACCTGCGTGCAGGGCAATAGGTCTTAATGCTGTGCTTCTTATGGAGATAGGTGGTGTGACAGCTCCTACTTGGCCCCAGTGGGTCCTGCTCTTTCAGGCACATTTGCTTGCCTCAGAGGCTCACAGCAGCCCTCAACTCAGGTACCACCCCATGGGCATCAGCTGGCGGTTTGTGGGACTACTCTCAGCCTGAGTAAAAGGGAAACCAAACTCCAGTCTCAGTGGCTCCACAAATAATGCAGGGCTGGGTAAAACCCTCCTTGCCCTAGCCAGCCTTTTGGGTTATGGACATGGGAGGTGGGTGTTGGGGGGAACCTGGACCCACCCTCTACTCCAGGTTCCAGCCCCGGGAACTGTAATAGCAGCTGTCAAGAGACATCTCCAACACCGGCTAGGAGACGGCTACAAGGCCCCTGGGCTACTTCCCCCGCACCTTCCTTCTCCCAGGCTCCTCCTCCGGTAGCCACTGGTGCTTGTTTCTCCTCAACTCCCAGCAGCACTCCCTCCGTCCTCCCAGCTCCTCGTGCGCTAACTGCAGCCAAGCCCTTTTATCATCCGTCTCAACTGGTTCTTTCACTGCCCCGAGTGTTCTAATTACCCCAGGCTCACCGGCCTCTGCAAGCCCTCCCACTCCATTAGCTCCCGGTGCTCAGATGCCCTGACAGACAAATTCTCGCTGGTTCTGGACGAGCGCCTGCCAGTTACTCTGGGAACGGAGATTTTTCCACGGTCTGAGACGAATACATCTCCTTTCCATTACTCATGTCCTTCTCACCTGCCTCTCAGTGGTAAAATTGTTGAACCAATGGCATGATTGGTCAGACCTGACTTGCCCAATTCCTGATCGCCTTCCTCTCTTCCAAGTGCTTCCAAATGGATTTCTTGATGATCCCTTCCATTTTTCCGGGGACTGAGGTGAGGCTGACTGGTATGTAGTTCCCTGGATTGTCCTCCTTCCCTTTTTTAAAGATGAGTGCCAACATTTGCCTTTTGCCAAGCATCCGGCACCCGCCCCTAAACCGTGACTTTTCAATGATAAAGATAATCTACAATCACATCAGCCAGCTTTTAGCACCCTCGGATGCATTAAATCCGGCCCCGTGGATTTGTGCACATCCAGTGAGCCGGCTGGGCAGCACGGCCCCTCCTGCTCCGGCGAGCCTCGTGGATGCTCCTCCAGGCCAGCTTCCTATAGAAGGCAAAGCTAAGACCACTTCAGAGGCAGGACAGCCTCTCATGCTGGCCTAAGTCAGAAAGTACGTCTCTTACATTTGTAAGCAGTGTTCATTCAGAGCTGAACGACGAGGTAGCTATGGTCTGCAGGCCCGGCAACCCCACGCAGTAAGGCCTTCCATAAGAACAGCCATACTGGGTCAGACCAAAGGTCCATCTAGCCCAGTATCCTGTCTGCCGACAGTGGCCAGCACCAGGTGCCCCAGAGAGGGTGGACCGAAGACAATGATCAAGCGATTTGTCTCCTGCCATCTTTCTCCAGCCTCTGACAAACAGAGGCCAATTCCAGATCGTAGCACCTCAGAGCCAAATCCAGAATCTTGCTTACGCTATGGGAGAGGGAGGTACTATTATCGCTGCCTCAACTGGTTCTCCAGCCAGAGAGACAACCCTCCTCAGAATCAGCCAAGGGCCAAAGGCAGAGAACTAGTGAGCTTCAACCCACCGGCAGGGACATGCCGCAGTGCTACTCAGAACTCACGAAAGGAGTCAGGCGACAGCTAGGAAAGAGGAGAGCACCTTATACTGAAGCACAAGTTTCAAAGGCTTAGGCAAGTTCAACTGGATAACCAGCAGCAAGAGCCAACACTGTCCCTATGCCTTAGGAACGCCAAACAGCCCATTATGGGTTGGGGAGGAAGTGGAGTGGCTCCATGTGTGTACAGCCAACAGAGCGCAATACCCACAGCCCCAGGGTGGCCAAAGCGTACCCTCCTGCAAGCCCGGGGATCCGCCACCCAGCTGGGCAGCACAGCCCCTGCCACCCCAGCAATCCGCTGTCCAGGCAGCTTGATGGCCATATTCCCAGCCCCAAGCACCCCCACTCCACACACACCCCCTCAACCCCCTGCCCTGGCTGCTGCGAGAGGGCTGGGGCTTTCCTCTCTCCCTGAGGCAGCCTGCAGATTGAACCCCTCATCACCAGCCCCACCCCAGAGCAAGATTGAATGAAGAAAAACAAAAATGATTTCAGGTAAGGAGCCGAGCAACACTGGGTAAATCTTCTAGCATCCTAGAACTTCTTTGTGACTTGTGCTCTACCCAGGGGCAGTCCGAGACAGGCTGCCGGCAGCTGGCGCCCCAGGCGGAATGTGCGATCAGCACCCTGGCACCCCAGGCAGAATGCGCGATCGGTGCCCCCGCGTCCACAGCCCTCAATGGCGTGACGTCATCATTGGGCACCCCGTTAACGCAGCACCCTAGGTGACAGCCGAGTCGGCCTATACGCACGGATCACCCTGGCTCTAGATTAGCTGATGTTGCACATTCTATAGTTTAACCAGCTGCATCTATAGCTGAACATATATGCCTATAAATGTCCTTCTTGCCATGTGGGGTAGATATCATTAAACGAAGAGACCAACAAAACAAACCAACCTGACTGAGGAACATGCAGCTGTAGATGACACTTACTGTTCAGTAAATAAATTGCACAGCTCTCCAATTCAGAGAGCTTCTTCTCCAGAACTCCTATTAGGATTCAATATTAAGATGTGATTTACTGCATAGGAGGAGGTCGCACACGGACACTTGCCGTGTGAAAAGGGTCAAATACAATCATTTGAGAACCACTGACCAAGAACAACGACTGGCTTTAGCTCATGCTAGGCTACAGTTTCATGGCACAAAGAAACTTCAATCCCTTGTGTGAGCGGCGCACCTAGGAAAGGAAGGGTTAGTAAGGAAGCTGTCAAATGAAACCTCACCTGAGCCATGAGGCTCAGAGCCCCACACAAGTTCCCTGTTCTCCGACACTGATCTATAAAGAGAACCCCACAGAAACAATAACATCCCCGCTAGGCCCAAGGCCAACTCACCAAAAGGTAACTCGAATCTTGTATCCAGCAAAATTCGATGGGGCGTTGGCTTTTTGGTCCCGCAGATCTCATCCTGCTTCATGACGACCTCAGCCTCCAACGCAGACCACTCGCCAGGTCCTTCCTGTCAGTCACAAGACAGGAATTGAAGTCCCTGTTGCTGATGAGTCTTTACCCAGGTAGCCAGCCTTATAAAATCAATTCCAGGGGCATTTGCTAATGCAAGGGGCACAGGAACAGCTCCACGGGGTTATATTCATAATAAAACAAAAACATGTGAGTCTTTAATCCTCCTAATTAACCCAGTTCTCTGTTTGCCATCCCCCATTGCGGGCTGCTTCCCCTCGAGTTCTGGGTGTACAAATTTTGCAGGATCATTTCCATCAGGGGTGGGAAACCTCTAGCCCCCTGCCTAACTTAATCTGGCCTGCAGCAAGTCTGCACAGCACAGGCTGGAAGCCTGGAGCTTCGGTTACCCTCTCCCATCCCTGCGCAGGCTGACAGTGATCAGAGAAGCTCTGCACTCTGCCTGCAGGCAGGCACTGCCCCCCAGCTCTCATTGGCCAGGAACCGCAACCAATGGGAGCTGCAGGGGCAGTGCCAGCAAGCAACGACAGAGTGTGGAGCCTCCTGCGCCCTCCCCACCCAGGGGCTGCAGGGACATGCCAGCAGCAGCGCGGGTCCAGAGCAAGCAGGGAGCCTGCCTTAGCCCTGCTGCACCAATGAATGGGATCGGCCTGAAGTAAGTACCCACACTGCCTTGTGCACCCCCGCCCTGAGCCCCCTCCCGCAGCCCACATCCTACACCCTCGTCCTGGAGCCCCCGAGCCAGGTCAGACCCACCTCCCGCACCCTAACTCCCTCTCAGACCTCACACGCCCAACCACTGCCTCACACCCCTGCTACCTCAGAGCCTGCACACCCACCTGCCACAGGGCAGGGAAGCAAGCTAACTCCCACCCAGACCCGCGCCCGCAGCCCCACTCACTTATCCCCAGCCCCACTCCAGAGCCTGCACTCCCAAAGATAGCCCTCACCCCCTCCCATTCCCCAATCCTCTGCCCCTCTTTCAACCCCCCATCACTTTTGGCCTGAGCCCCTGCGCCCTCCCCCCGCAGGGCTGTCTGCAGCCCACCGGGGGGGAAAAAAGATTCCCTACCCTTATTTAATGCTTACACCAAGATGAGAGCGGCATCTTAAAACCAATCTGCCGCAGCCCTACTGACTTCTGAAGGGAACCGTGCATGAAGTATTCGCTGCCGAGAGCGGTGGCTCCCAAGACAAGTTAGCGCAAACGAGTGTGAGGTCTGAAGGCTGGGAGCCCCCCGCTGCCGTTTGCCCATTTTTTCCTACTGCCCAAATTCATGACCCTCTCCCGCCTTTATAAGACCCTCCTCTATAAAATCCTCTCTCAAATTGTGTCCAGACGCACTGGGCTCGGACCTATGCCAGCGAGCAAGTTCAGACCAGTTTTCAGATCTTCTGAAACTCTCCCGGCAATGGCTGAGTCGGAAGTTAGGAAATTCCTGCTCAGCTTTCTTACTACACACGCGTCACACCCAACACTGCTCAGGGCAAACGATATTCTGTGGCCTTACATAGGCCATCGGCTGCTATCCTCCAGCACACGGACGGGGAACCTCTTCTGGGTCGGGGGCCACTGACCTATGAAAATCAGTGGATGGGGTGCAGACAAGTAGGGGGGCAGCCCTGTGGGAGACTGCAGGGGCACCAGCTGCGCTCCCAAGTGCTGCGGAGGGATCCTGAGCCTCAGGGGCCAGATCCAGGCGAGCCAGGGGCTGCATCCGGCCCCCCGGCTTGAGGTTCCCCGCCCCTGCTCTAGCATTAAAGCATAAACTTCAAAGGGGAAGTCCTCAAGCCACCAGGAACTCAAGAGCGTACGTTACCAGGGTGGCCCATAACAGCCCCTATTCTGAACAGAGAGAGATTTCAGCCAGTCGCTTGCTATGCTGTAATAGTTTTACAGGTTTTCATGTTTCAATTCTAAGAAATCTATTTTTGAGAGGTCAATATGTGAGGTATAAACGCTGTACGTTATTCAGGAAATCAGATCTCTTTTTACACCTGTAGAACTGAGATCGCAGAACACAGATTCCACTTGTGTCTTCGTGGACTCTGTCATCCAAACCTTAAAGGGTCCCCTCCACACACTCGCCCACACTTCTCAGAAGCACCTCTCCCATCCCGACAGTGTGTGTCGCAGCACTGGGCGAGATGAGACGCGTATTAAGCTGGATGGTTACGTGCGCTGGCTAACCTCATCCGACTGCCGGACGGTCTCAAGCGCAATCCACGCAGTGCCCACCATGGTGTCCCAGATCAGCCCTTTGTTCCAGACTTCGACGATCAGGCCCAGGTCCAGCCGACTGATCTCACTGCAAGGGAGAGAGAAACGCAGTGCTTAACAGGGAACGCTGAGGCAGCTGTGAACTCAGCGTTTGGCTTGGAATGACGACCACTCACACGTGAGGAAAGAACCGCAACGAAGCTACAGCACACGTAGACGTAGGTAGGTGGGTACGTTAAGGATCTTGGAGGGAATTACTTCTACGCACCTTTGCCCTCCCACGGGCAGTCACAGATCCATCTGGTGGATCTGAGGCATCCGTCAGGCAACACGACAACACACGGACTATCCTGGCCTGGAACACAGAGCCGTGTTGCCATTCATTTTATTCCTGGGCTAGCCCCCTGCGGGCACACTCGCAGGAAGAAGGGATCGGCCACTCCCCGCTCTAACAAAGGGTACGGTCATGTGCTTATAGGCCAGCAGGGCTCTAGTAGATAGCTTTGTATGCTGAGCTTGATCGCGACCTTTGTCACCAGGAGTAGACAGGAAGGGCTTCTTCCCTCCCCGTGGGCTAGAGAGCATCCCCATCAATTCATCTCTTCCTAGAGTCTCTCCCAACTCAGCTAACCAGTTCACATCACTCTCTGGCAAGCCACTTGGGCAAGTGAGACACTAGCCCGTACAGCCAAGTTTTGGTCGTCCACCTACACATGCAGCCTGGCAGGCTCTCATTTGCCTCTCGGGGAGATCAGCAGCAACTCAGGAGACCTGCATGGGATATTGCCCTGTGGCTAGGATCGCTTTGGAATGTGAGCTCTTAAGCCACAGGGCTCAGCTTCAGAGGTTTGTTGTGGTTCTTTGAGACCAGATGTCCTAGGACTGAGGCCGTGCTGCATAGCTCCTCTTGCCCGACAGCACCACCGCACTCAATGTTTGTCACAGGAACTGGAAAGTCTAATCCATTGTTACTTGTCTCTAGATTGCCACCTACCCGGGGAGGTTCCTGGGGCCCTACGGGGAAGTAAGAATAGGACCTCTGTACCCTTCCAAGCACGTCATCAGAGGCAACTAAGGAGGGTTGGGCATGGGGCTAGCAACCTCATCCTGTAAAAATAAACATATGCTATAAAACCATCAAGAATTTCAACTTGAACAGCAAGCCAGCCTCAGAGAGGAAGCTTGGAAAGAAATTGCTGATTGCCTACGCTCCCATAGGAGGGCAAAGAAGAAGAAGATTGCCACCCGGCTGAAGACCCTTGTGCATTACTCCCTGTCCTCACTCATACAGGTCAACCACTGTACAACTGGAAGCCACCAACTAACTTCAGTCTCACGTGGAACAAGAGTAGACCCTAACCCTGCAGCACAGTAAGTGGATACTCGGTGATCCCTAATGCAGCATCCTGAGTTCTCCACCCAGGCCTGTCAGGCTCTGAGTTCAGCAACATGTAGAGTTCAGAGCAGCAGACAGGTGAAGGAGAGTCTGTAGGTGGTGTGTTTTAAAACCTGAGTGCTTCACTGATGTAACGCTGACAGGCAGAACCCAACCTGGGGCCTCTGGGGCTTGGTGCATGAGCCTCTACAGCAAGGCTACTCAACACACGGCCTGCAGCCCGCGGTGCAGTTTGGGTTTACGCAGGGTTCAACACGTGGCCCGCGGGTGGGAGCCAAAACAAAAAAGTCGTCAATATAACGGTCTTCTGTTGCTATGCCTTTTAGTAGTTAAATTCCTGGACTGTCATTGCTCATTAACAGTGCTGTCATATGGGTGCAAATTGGGTAAATGTTGCATTTTATTAATATCAGCAGAAATGACTTAAACGGGGCCTGCGTGTTGTGTAGTCTTGCCTTAATCTTTGCATTCATGCCTGTCAGTGTGAAAGAAGCTATTTGCATATATAGTTGCGGCCCTCCGCATGTGCTGTGAGTATCAGTGTGACCCCCAGGGGCTTCCAAAGTTGAGTAGTCCAGCTCTACAGCTTGTGGGGAAAGCCAGCTGGCTCTCAGCCACAGCAGGGGTCTGTGTCTGTGTCTCCCTCTCTCTCCCGAGTGCCACTAGATGGGATGGTGAGCCCTACCCAGAAGGTGCACAGGGTTGCCAGGTATTGACCGAACCGTCCGGTATTTTCGCCTCCTGTCCGGTAAAAAAAAAAATTCAGAAAATACCAGACACCTGAAATGTCCAGTATTTTCTGATTTTTTTCCCCCCAGTCCAGGAGGCAAAAATACCGGACACCTGGCAACCTTTGCACCAGAGCCCAGGCCCAGCTCCTGGACTCCCCTTCCCAGGGCCCCAACACCCCCAGCCCTCTGACCCCATGCTTACCTGGTTCCACAGGGCAGCTAAGTTCTGGCTTGAACAAGAACATAAAATGGCCACCAGCAAAAAGCCTAAAGACCATATGGAAGCAATGCCTTCCCTGGGTCTTACTGCTCAACCGCTACCCTGTTCCTACCCCTATTCTGACTCGGCACTCACTCCGAAGGGGCCATGCTGGTTTATTATTTATTTATTTATTGGTTAATAAGTCTTGGATTCCTTTTTTTTGCACTCCACAACTTTGGTCTGCCCCCTCACCCCGCCCCACAACAGAATTTTTTCCCCAGTGGGTTTTTTTTTGGGGGGGGGGGGGGGTCAGTATTTTTGATTCAACCATCTGGCAACCGTAGGAGGTGGGGGCGTTACACTTAGACATACGAATGTAACTAACTTCATGCTCCATCAATGCGGTCACACACATTATCAGCTCATTGCTAGTATGTTGGTACTTGTCCCAAACCGTACAACTGAATCCCAAAGCTCTCTCCTGAGCTTCAACATACAGAGCAAGAAATCAAGGGCAAAACTTCAACCAACTTCTGCTCGCTGTTCTGTGAGGCACTAAGCAGGGAATGATCCTAGGGAGGAATTTCAGCCAGTCGAACTACTTTGCTGTTTCAGCTGTCTCTCCCTTTCTCCACCTACTGGTTATAGGGAGAATAATTTCCAACCAGAGGACAAACCAAGAAAACACAGCACCAAAGGTATTTCTCTTTCAAATTTAAAAATCTAAAGCTTTAATGCGGTTTCAGGGCTAGGAACCAACTAACCCAAGTTGGTATTTGCCATTTTTCATTTCTCTGTGACATCCAGCTGTTTCAAGGCTGCTTCTGAACTAGAAAATGCTTCCAAAGACAGAAACGGAGATGCTCTGTCTGGGAAATGAGCAAACCTCCAATATCCTCCGTGTAACCCTGCCAGAGGCTAAATTGCTACCTTTTATCAGGAGTTTTAAAGCTACAGAAGCTATTAAAAAACTAACTAGCTCATCAGCCAAGGGAGCACCTGTGATTTGCTCTGCTATTTAACACCGCCTGTTTGGACAGGGCAGTGCAGGGAGCCTTTCGCTGGGAAGAAGATGCTACAATACACCCAATGTCAGGACCACCGCTGTCCTGTTGCCTGGGTGAAGCGGGGAGCAAAAGGGTGATGACGCTCAGCCTTGGCTGGAAGGAAGCGGCCAGCATTCGGCTTGTACATTCCATAGTAACGACCTGAGAGGGGCACAGCCACCTCGGAGCAGCCGGCCCGTGCTCCCAGCCGCAAGAGAGAGCAGCTCTGGTGGCTGTCGTGACCCAAGACAATGGGACTCCAACCAGGTCAAACAGTTACATAACAACGGCCGTACTGGGTCAGACCAAAGGTCCATCTAGCCCAGTATCCTGTCTGCCGACAGTGGCCAGCACCAGGTGCCCCAGAGAGGGTGGACCGAAGACAATGATCAAGCGATTTGTCTCCTGCCATCTCTCTCCAGCCTCTGACAAACAGAGGCCAAGGACACCATTTTATCCCCTGGCTAATAGCCTTTTATGGACCTAACCTCCATGAAATTATCTAGCTTCTCTTTAAACTCTATTATAGTCCTAGCCTTCACAGCCTCCTCTGGCAAGGAGTTCCACAGGTTGACTACACGCTGTGTGAAGAAGAACTTTCTTTTATTAGTTTTAAACCTACTACCCATTAATTTCATTTGGTGTCCTCTAGTTCTTCTATTATGGGAACTAATAACTTTTCTTTGTCAGCCCTCTCCACACCACTCATGATTTTATAGACCTCTGTCATATCCCCCCTCAGTCTCCTCTTTTCTAAACTGAAAAGTCCCAGTCGCTTTAACCTCTCCTCATATGTGACCCGTTCCAAACCCCGTTCACCCAGAACTCAAGTGTGCGCCTCTTAAGTCACCCTGGAACCCCCGCTTGAATATCCCAGCAATTCCTGGCTGCTTCATCAGGGGAACCCTTCCCTGAATCTTGGGCTTCCCAGGGCGCAGAACGGCTGTTTCCAGAGTTAGAGTCTCCCATCGTCGTCAACGTTTGGGGCCGTCTGTTTCAGTGCACCTTCTGAAGAGAGGTCTGCAGCTGCCACTGAGAGCAAGCATGGCCAGATGGTTTCGCCACAGCCTGCTTTCTTTGCCCATGTCCGTCGCCGGCTTTCACGACTATTCTCCATAGCGCTAGCCACATACCAACACATCTGCCGTCACCCTGGTACGTCAGCAACAGCTTCCCATGAGTTTGCCTCAACGGGGCCAGTTTTTAGGTGAGTTCTGAGGGCATCCTTATGTAAAGGCAATGGACCTCGGTCGTCAGCACGGTGGAATTGAACCTGCAATCTTAAGAGTCTAGAGCCAGGTACCTCTACAGCATGAGCTGAAAGCCACCTGGCTCTGAGCTAAGGATATAGAGCAGACTTCACTCCCCCTTATCAACGGTCCCAGGGCCTCCGGGTTACACTTAGATCCTCTTTGTTGGGCTCCCAGTGCGAGTCCCTGTCTCCAGAACCCCGTGCAGATGCAGAATTTATACCCACAGATGCGCATCGGCGAAGTGCAGATGGCAGAGCTCCTGCAGGAGCTGCAGCAGCAAAAGCAGCCGTGTTGGGCCTCTGCAAGCAGAAGCCAGCTCCTCCGGCATGGCTGTACCACCCCAATCCCAGCCACTGGGCGGGCACCAGGCTCCCCAGCAGCGTCTCTGGTCACACAGTCTGCGTCTCCTGTCCGGTGGCAAACCCTCCCATGTTGACAGTTCTAGCAGCAAACAAGCGCTTTTGCTGGCTTATGCTGGAGACTGGCAAGCAAACAACTGTACAGGTTGGACCTCCCGGGTCTGGCCCACAGGGGACCTGAGCAGCCCTGAGTCAGGGTATTTGCCAGAGCGGGGAGGTCAATGCTTGCCCCTCTGCTCTGGACTGCCAGGCCCTACAGGACTCTTCTGCCATCCCCCGCCTCCCCAGAGCTCTGCAACACTTGCCCAGGGGCCCACTGGAGATCCATTCTTCCCTCGTCCAACAAGGCCCCTGCTCCCAGCCCACGGGGTTTTCCCCACAAGCGCTGCAGCCCCAGAGCAGCCATGGGGTCATCGATGATGCCCGGCCAGGCGTGTTGCCCAACGAGGGCAATCTGTATTCGAGAGACTCAACCGGTAGCAGCAAAGGCACTTTTTTTGCAGTGTAACCACTTGTACACGGGGGTTTCTCCCAGGAGCAGAATGGTGCTTCAAAGGGAGTCCCTGCCTGAACACTTATTCAGGGAAATATTTCTTGTGCAGACCCACCCTTAGTCTCTGTGCACCTTGCGTATGCTCAGCTGTTGTTTTACCCCATGTTGCATTACACAACGCGACACTTCTCATGTGAGAGTTTGGTGTTCCCAAGTCCCCTGCCCACACAGCAGGACCAAGCACCACCTAGACCATCCCTCGCAGGTGTATGTCCAACCTGCTCTTCAATATCCCCAGGGACGGAGACTCCTCAACCTCCCCAGGCAGTTTATTCCAGTGTTTAACCCCCCTGACAGGTAGCAAGTTCTTCCCAATGTCCGACCTAAACCTCCTGTGCTGCAGTTTAAGCTCATTGCTTCTTGTTCTGTCCTCAGAGGCCACGGAGAACAAATTTCTGCCCCCATCCCTTGTGACACCCTTTTAGACACTTGAAAACCGCTCTCATGTCCCCTCTCAGTCTGCTCCTTTCCAAACTAAGCAAGCCCAATTCTTTCAGCCTTCCCTTGTAGTGTATATCTAGAAAACATGATCTGTCTCAGCCTTTTGACCACCCACAAACACGCCCTCGTCCACATGACAGCAAATATCCAATAGCGCACACTATGATTTTTAGAAAAAGATACTATACATATTTCAACCAAGAAAAATCCAGTATTAGGTACACTGTTAGTCATCCAGGGTCTTGCAGACAGGGCAATTTTACCAGAAGGGGCTGATTATAGACCTACTCTATGCCATTAAGAACGACAACTGTCAAAACTTCAACATAAATTCAACTCTTCAGATTAACCCTGAAAAGCCTCCGAAACGTGGCCCACTGGTGCAGTCAGGGAATTGTCAAGGCTGTGTTCCATGCAAACACCAATGCCCAAGTGAAGAAGAAGCCGAAGACACATCTCTCAACTAAGCTCATCCCTGCACATGAACCACAGCCACTAGCAGCTCTCCTCTCTAGGGGTATGGCCATCTTGACAGATCTGTAGTAGGGACATGGGAAACCTGAGAACACGGCAGCCCAACAAGTCCTCCAAGACAAAATCAAAGCCCTCCATGGGGGGGAAACAATTATGGCTTTAACAGCTGCAGTTTGCATTGACAAATCCTGTGCCAGAAGAACTAAGAAAGGGGCAGGCGTAGAACAGCTCCAAGGCATGAATGCATTGGCAGCGGATCTCAAAACAAGGCCTACCTGCACAGGTCTCACCATCTTTGAAAGCTAGAAAAGGTTCTGCCTGGCTCAGTTTTAGAAGCACTGGACCCCAAGGGAACAATCCAGTTCAGCTGGCATCTCTATCCCCACAGCAGAGCTTTCACAACCTTTTCACAGACTGAAGAGATTCTCTTGGGCTACCTCTCATTCGCTGGGTCTCCTCCCGGGAGAATGAACGCAGCAGGAGTCTATACGATAACAATTAGTGTAGCGCACGCACACACATGGGACAGATTTCACAGGCAATCTGTTTTTTTTTACATGTCCTCACTTACGTACTTGATTTTACAGCATTCAAAGAATCCTACACAACATTTTGTCTAAGTATCTGTTGTACACAGAAAGAGTAACAGAAATACCACGAACATGTAGTTGTTGTACAGCAGAGTACTTACAACATGAAATCTTGCTCCCAGCAGGGCTGGTCCCCTCGCACTGCAACTGTTGTACTCTTCACATTTTGCACCTTCAGGGTCACATAGGTATTAAATTTATCTAAACCAAGAAAGAGTTCAATGAATACTTTTTGCTATTACTGTCTCTTACAATAGCAACATTATAAACCTGCAAGTAGCTGTACTACACACTCAGCAATGCTACTAGTAGGAACATCATCTGGCTGCTTATGAAGTTCATAAGAAAATATATTTGAAAAGTCTTGCAAGGATTTGCATCTTCCACAAAAATGTCACACCTTCCCCCCCCTCTCCATTTCTTAAGAGATGTGAGATTCACACATCACTGAATAAAACTCGTTCTCTCTCTAAACTGAGGGCTAACTATCACCACCTCTAGTGAGTTAACAGCAACTGTTAGGAAGGAACTAGTTATTCAGGCCTGCCTGTTACGGCCTGTACTTAGAGAATTTACACGTATTCTTACAGGGTGTAAAACAAAGAATCAAAATCACAGTCTATGACAGTCTGAGGCCTTGTTCTTAAGCTCAGTCTTCCTGGAACCTTCCAAACGGCCACACTGAAATAAGGCCCTTTGGAGCGGTTAGAAGTGAGATCCAATCTATTGCCGTCACAAAGGGAAGAGCCTAGAAGATTTAGAGGAACCCAAGTTGAGAGCTTCCTGCCTGGCAAGAGCCAAATTAGCAATAGTTGGGGTTCAGAAATCCTCATTTGTTTATCACTTCGTTATTACGTTGCCCACTTCTCTAATGTTTCTCTGTTTGGTCTCTGGTTCTTTGATTATCTCCTGTATAATTAATTTTGCTTGCACCTTCCCCACGCCTGCGGAGTTGTTGGATAGAAATGTTACAAGGTCATTAGGAAGCTTTTCTTTTAGTACAGTTGGCTTAATATTAAGCTGCACAATTTTCTCAGGAGCCGTTAGAGGTGTGTCAGAGAAGGATCCAGATTCATGAGAGTACAGGAAACCCCCGAGATGCGACCGCCTGAGTTCCGACCCCCCCGCACTTACAACCATTTTTGTAAGTGCGGAAGGGGTCGAAAATGCCCGACTTGCATCCTTGGCCCGCATTTATTACGGCGCACGATGCCTATCGTAAATGAGGGTTTGGGTTACAATGCCCCCAACTTGAGACGCTTCCCCAGGAACCGATAGCATCGCATGTCAGGGGCCACCTGTAATTGGGATCACTTCAGACTAGGTTCCTCAGTGCATATTGCTCACATTTCTGGTTACTGCAGCTCATTAAGGGAGAGATGAAGTCCTGGCCTTGAGGTCCAGTTTCTCCCATCTATCTTTGGTCAGGGAGTCTTTCATATTCAGTTTTCTTCAGGACTGAAGAATTTCTTTTAAAATTACTGTTTGGGCTTATCCCTTCATCCTCCCACTTCTCTGTTCTTGTGAGACGGACCAAGGAACAGCAATATCCAAAGTCCAGAGATGTACAGATGTACCAATATCCAAAGTCCAAAGGCTGCAGCCAGGCACAGTGGGGCCGTGATCCTGTGTTCCAGTTAGCCACTGGAACAACTTACTGAAGTCATGATGGAGTCTCCAGCCCTGGACACGTCTAAGTGAAAATGGGAGTTTTTGCTAAGAGTTTCTCTAGCTCCACCAGGAATTAACCCAGGGCACCCCATGGCAAAGGCTGCACAGGAGGCCAGATAAGATTACAATGCTCCCTCCCAGCCTTACCAACGAAACTACAGTGTCAAAAGAGGATCTCTAGCCAGGAGAGTTTATAGTATAACAGGGCCCATGAGTCTCTCACAGCCCACCAGAGCATTTCACACAGCTTGGGCCTGCTTCCAGCAGCTCTTGCAGCCACCATGGGCCCAGGGACAAGGGGGCCAGCTCTGCGTCCCCAGAAGGGGCAGAGGCTTGGGCGGAAGGGGCAGGCTAATGAGTCCTCAGTGCCGCCAGAGTGTGGCTTTGGGCCCTCCCTCTCAGAGCCACACGGAGCAGCCAAGCGGCACTGCTATGGCCATCCCAAGGGGCCCAGGGCTCCGGCCAACACCACGACCGCAGTAGCAGCAGCTGGGAGCGCTGGGCCGCAAAGCAATTGCTCCTTTTTGCCCTCCTCCCACCCCCGCCAGCGGTCCTGCCTGCTTCGATACAATATACTCACAGCAGATTCATTCACATTTTGTTGTAACATTCACATGGTTTTGCTTCATACAAGCGTGTACAGAAAGAATCTGATCCAGACACAACTTCTCAATACGTACCAGCCAAGCTGAACTTCCTATATAAGCCAGTGTACGTGAGCTCAAATCTTATTAAAAGGGGAGAATTTGTTTGACCTGCACAAGGTTTGTGTGGCTCTCCTGGACAATAAGGTCCGCACCAGTCAACTAGGAGACCCGGGAAGGGGCTGGAGCGGGCTTGGAACAGACAAGCCAGCTGACAACGGGACACTGACCCGGTTTCGTTGCTTACATATTGTTTGAGGCTTTCAAAGTTTTGCCCCACCTGGGGCAGATGCGGGGCCTGGAGAAAGCGGCTAAGAGCCACCGGGTAGGCAGAGGAAGGAAGCTCAGCACTAAGGCTCTGATTTAGTCATGGACAGGCCCCGAGCAATAAACAATTCGTGGCCAGGGACCAGTCCGGGACTTTCACTATCAGCACCTGTGATTCAATTGAGGCCGGCGGAGAATGCTGGAGGGTCAGTGTCAGAGAGGGGGCCAAACGCACAGGACTGTGGACCATGCCTGCTCTGGTGGGCTAGCCAGGGACTGCTGTGGCTGTCCCCAGGCAGGCTGTCCCGGGAGCTTGCTGCTTAGGTGGCCTTGGGGTTTGGAAGTCACAGAGGTCATGGAATCCGTGACGTCCATAACCTCCCTCAGACACACCCAGAGGCCAATTAATTGCCCCTGCAACCACGGGTACCAGGCAGCGTTCTGCAGGCAGCCCGGCACAGGACAGAGCAAAGGAGGATTCTGAGGTACTGCCTGTTCAGATTCCATCAGGAAATCTCCAGACTCCTTGGGAAAGTGGCTGAGGGCAGGAAAAGCTGGGAACGTTGGCCAAGCAAAAGCAGCTGTAAGTTCTTTGGGCAGCTAACAAGAGCAGGGTTCATTTACAAAGACCTTTGAAGTCCGTGACAAGAAGCTGGGGAGGGGAGAGAGAGGCAATGACCAGAGAGATCCCAAGGAGGCTGGCATGGTCTGAGAAAGGAGCTGCAAAGAAGATGATTTTACCAATAATAGTCCACACATGCTAATTGTTAGCCGACAAGGGAGGATGGCAATCAGAAAAAAGTATCAGAGGGGTAGCTGTGTTAGTCTGGATCTGCAAGAGCAACAAGAGGTCCTGTAGCACCTTATAGACTAACAGACGTATTGGAGCATAAGCTTTCGTGGGAAAAGACCCACTTCGACATCTGTTAGTCTATAAGGTGAATCAGAATCATGTAACACTGGGACTAGAAGAGACCTCGAGAGATCATCAAGTCCAGTGGCCTGTACTCCAGGGCCAGCTATCAACTAGACCATCCCTGACAGGGGTGTCTCCAACCGGCTGTTCAATGTCTCTAGGGATGGAGATTCCACAATCTCACTAGACAATTTATTCCAGCGTTTAACCCCCCTGACTGGCAGGAAGTTTTTCCTAATGTCCAACCTAAACCTCCCTTGCTGCAGTGTAAGCCCATTGCTTCTTGTCCAGTCCTCAGAGACCAAGGAGAACAAGTTTTCTCCCTCCTCCTTGTAACCCCCTTTGGGTACTTTCTGTGTGAGAAACAGTTTGTTCCTTCCCAAGTGCGGCACTTTCCATTTGTCCTTATGAAACGTCATCCTATTGACCTCAGACCATCTCTCCAGTGTGTCCAGATCAGTTTGAGTTATAATTCTGTCCTCTAAAGCAGGGATGGGGATCTTACAGCCCAGGGGCCAAATTCAGCCCCTAACTTGCCTGAAGCTCAGGCTCCTACCCCCACGATCATGGAGGGGGAGCAGCCGCGCACAAAGCCACTTCTTCCAGGGGCCAGCCCAAGCCTGTGGGTTGGAGCCAGCCCTGGCTTGCCTAACTCTAGCCCGCGAGGCTTAGGGTTCCCCACACACAGTGGGGAACCAGCACTGGCACTTCAGCCCTACAACTCCCCCACCACCACCACCACGGCCCACCACGTGGGGCTGGAGTCCATCTTCACCCTACCAGCCCAAACCCATCAACCTCCAACCTGCTCCTACACCCTCACTCCTACCCACAGCCCCATCCCCACTACTCCCCTTCACCTGACCTCCCACCTATACCCTCCACCCCCTGCTTTGCTCCTTCACCCTACCTCTCACCCAGACCTCCCCACCTGCACCCTCCCAGTCCCACCAACCTCCAACTCATTCCTGCACCTTCCCCTGCCCAGACCTCATACCCAAAGCCCACTTCCTGACAGCCCCCTCCCACACACTGAACCCCTCACTTCTGGCCCCATCCCAAGGATTAGCTGGGCCCTCCAAGTCTACTAGCCCAGGCCGCCTTAAGCTCCGGTGTGTGAGGGGAACGTGGGGAGTATCCTTCTGCTTCTCAGTCGGGAGCCAAGTCAGTGAGGTGGGATGGGGTTGGTTGGTTTTGGAGGGAGGCACTTCTTGCTTTTGTGGACCCCTGACTTTTTTCCTGTGAGGCTACTCTCTGAAAGCAGAGACCCCAGCATTTATGCACCCACCTCACCATAGAGCAGAAGTGAGGGAACCCACACATTCATCTTAAGTAAGCCGTGAATATGGTAAGAAAACGTGTAGAAGTACACGAAGTGGACAACCAGTGTATGTACTTGCTGGTGCCTCCTGCAGCGTGCCAACTGCCCTCCTCCCAGATGGCACGACAAGACCCTAACTAACAGCTGTGCACGGCAGCCAAGAGACACGTACATTCAGTGAGCTTCTCCTGCCACGTAGTGTGGGCTGAGTCGAACACTCCACTGAACAGCCTGAAAAACAAATCGCCGTGCCTGCAGGGCAAGGACTGTTTAGAACAAGACAAGTCTGGCTTACCTGGTGGGCCCTGCAGTTTTGCTTTTTTCACTGTGAAGAGAAAAAAAAAAAAACACGTTAGTGATTTTGCCATGGTAACAGTTTTATTCTAAGAGGCACACAACACACGATTGTCAACACTCCCAGCACAGGACTGAGGGCCAGGGGTTCTGATCCCATGTTTCAGCAGGTAACAACCCTGAGCAACACTGCACTTCTCTGGGCCCCACATTTCCACTGCAAAGTGGGGTAAATAGCTCAGAAAGTAGTGAGGACTGGCCAGCCTTTGACACTGGAAGTCATGATTGACTTTACATATACACTGCAACTACACAAGTCTCAAAACCAGAAGCTATTAGCATTTTAACACCCATTCTGTGGAAAGAGCTAGTTAACTCAGTAAGCCTGGCGGGGACGGGGGGAGAACCGGGTGTTCTGTTTTCGTAGAGCTAGTTGGGAAATTTTTAATTAAATGGGGTTTTGTTTCAATAGGTTGTATCTCAGCTTAAACATGCCACTTAGACGTATCGATTGTACCAAAAAGGTTTCTGAGGTCTGTGACGGACACTCTGGTCATTTCCACAGAACGAGGGGAAACGCTCTGAAAATTCTGATTTTACACAATTTTGTCTCACGAAAACATTCCAAAGGTTTGGTTTTGTTCCAGAGAGGAATGAAAACAAATTTCAAAACCTTGAAAGTTGTTGCCAAATGCTGTCCATGAGAACAT